GTGCAAGCTGGCACAAACAGCAAATATTTGAAACCACAAATCTGGGACATCTAAGTGAAAGGTCTTCTGTCCTTGTCTGCTGATGATATCAAAGTGCTAATCCTCAACTTTTGACATCGTGCCCTCTGGACTATGACTGAGCTCCTGTTCAGACATCTGTTCTACACTTGTCAATCAAAAGAGAACTTCCAAAGTTATTTATATTGACCGTATAATTTCCAACTTGAAGGCTCACCAAACACACAATGTCATTATCTTACCAAGAGTATCTTCAGCTCCTGTCCCTCTACTCCTAACTTCCATCCCACAGATGGGGGAACTAGACTTCAGAGTGAGCTGGGAACCACCCCATGTGCCTCTTCACAATCTAATCTTGAACGCCACAGAAAAATAGCCAATGCTTCTTTCCATACAAACTGTACCACAAGAATAAAGAAACCACAACTCTTCTTGGCAGTGTTATGAAAGACATGTCTCAAAGGTTTTTTTTTTTTCAATTCTCATTTCCAAAAAGAAAACCATTGCATAAATATAAAGCACTACAAATCTTAGGAAGAGGACTGCAACACCAGCTTTTGAGAAATCCTGCCCCTGCCTTATCAAGGGAGAACAAATCCCCCACCGTGAAGAAGCTGCGGCACGAGAACCCATCTGCGGGGACACAGGCCTGACTTCCGCACGGTAATGAGCCTCAGGTGGAATTTTAGTTTACTGCTTCTGGAGGCTATTTTTCCCAAACTGCATCGTCACGACCAAGAACAAGAAGCAACTCCATCCCATACTAAGAAGACGTGGCCCTGAAGCACGCACTCACTCGAAATTGTAATTTAATAAGAATATGGAAGAGCTTCATTTATATAAATCTAAATACTGAACATTACCTTCGGGACAGAATAAAACTTGTAACATTCTATGACCTTACAATGCTTTAGTTAATAACAACAGCTGCCACTTTATTGGGCAATTTTCAACATCGCCATGTTTCAGACACTAAGCGTTTTTCATACATTTTCCCATTTCATTTTCACAACAACCCTGTGAGGCAGGTATTATTATTCCCCTTTTATTGATGAAGAAACGAAGGCACACAAAAGTTGAGTGACTTCCTGAGAGTCACACAGCTAGTATATAACCCAGGCCTGCCTGAGGTCCAGACTTCCATCAAAAGTACGCAAACTAAAGGCATCTCAAGGCTCTAAAACAAGTTTTTAAAAGACCACGTTGTTATAGTGAAAACTTTCAGAAAGCCATGGGAAAATAAACCATTATTCCAAAAATAAGCTTGAGCTGTAGGAGTAAAAAAAATAAAGCATTGCCTTTAGGCCAATGCTAGAAACAGCCTTTTTATTTTTATTCTCATTAATTTTTTAAGGCACTGAAAATATTTTGAAACATGTTTTGGAAATTTTCACCGGAATTTGGTAAGATTATGATCAAATGTTCACTGAGCTCCCACTAGGTGCCATGTACTATTAGGTGCTGGGATACGGAAATCAGTAACAAACAGTTTTCATTCTTAAAAATTCAGTGATGTTGGTGGGCGATAAAGGACAGACCATAACGCACTGTGGAAAGTATAACAGAGTGAGGTGTAGGGTACTACAGAAAAGTGAGGGATGGTGCCTAATTTAGCCAGTAGGTGGTAGGGGTGTTTACTGGAGGAAGAGGAGTGAACAGTTGCCAGCTGAAGGGGGTGGGCTGTTCACTCCAGGCAGAGTGCAAAGCCTGGGCACAGGGCAGAGGAAGGAAGCAGGGCAATGGCGTGGTACATGGGGGGACCCACGAGAAGGTCAGGGTTGCTGAAGCATGGAGTAGGATGCAGGCAATGGACACAGGTAAGGAGCAGGAGGTGCATGGTGTCCAAATCACGAAGAAGTTTAAATCAGTGAAGCATTTTCAGCAGAGAAGTGACACACTCAGAATTATCCTTTAACTAAATCCCTCAAAGTTGTATGAGGGATGGACTTGGAGCCACATGGTTGTACGTTCAACTCTCGGCTCTAAGGCTTATTAGCTTGTGAACTTTCTAGGCCTGTCTTGTCAACTGTAAAATGAGAAGTAAATGAGATGATGAATGTAAAACACTGGAACACAGTAAAGCTCAATAAATGGTAGCCCTTATTATTATCATTAATATTAGTATTATAAGCCTCGAAGTCCAGGGAGACCCATATGGGAGTCCGGATGAGACACACTGAGGCCCTGAATAGGGATGAAAAAACAGGACAATCTGAGAAATATTTAAGAAACAGAATTGACCAAAATTGATGACCACTGGCTATGGGAGTGTGGGTAAGGGAGAGGGGGCACCATTGATGAGCTATAGGTCCAGGCTGGGTGACTGAACGGATGGTGGCTCATGGTGCCCCTGACAAAGAGAATATGGGAGGCAGAACAAGTTTGGGAGTCTGAGTCTTGGTGAGGAGGAGGTGTACATCCAGGAGTAGATATCCAGGAGGTCAATGGATGAGTTTGGAGTGTGGATGGCAGGTGTGGCTTGGAGTTTGAGAAGTGGGTGTCATAGTATCTCACACCATGAGAAGGGAAGAGATCACCCACAGGGGCCACGTTGTCAGAAGAGCAATGAGCTAGGCCAGACCGTGGGAACACTCACAATTAAGAGGCAAGGAGAGAAAGAGAAGCCCCCAAAGATAAAAAGGACCACAGAGGACCAGAAAAGCTTGGAGGCTCAGTGTAATGGAAGCTGAAGGGGCAGGATCTCATGGAGGGAGTCATCAGTGGTGCCCAATGTAGTTCTAAACGTGCCCTTGGAATTCAGCAGAAACTGTTGCTGATTTTAGACGAGAGGGTAATTTTAGGATAAGGGGGTACAGAAGCATGACTGCTGGGTTAAGGTATAAATGGGAGCGAGGAAGTGGAAAGAGTCTACCATAAACTTGGGAAAAGGGATGCAGAGGAATTATGTAGTAATAACAGGGGAATGTAGGGTCAAAGTTAGGTTAAAAATCATTTTTAGGATGGAGCATTCGAAACATTTTATGAGCTGAGAAAGAAAAGGCAGATGAGAAAGGGTGATGATGCAGGCGAGAGAAACACTGACAGAACAAGGTTCTTGAGGAAATAAGAAGGAATTGTGAAGTTTCTATTGTGTGTTAGGCACCATGCTAAGCGCTGGGGACACCTGTCAACAAACCAACAGAACAGAGTGTGACATGGATGCTAGTCTTTGGAGTGCATCCCGCCAGAGGAGCTCAGAGGGGGGCCCATCCGACCGCAGGTTTCCTGCACCCAAGCCTGTGCCTGCTCACCAGTCTATTCCCACAGTGTCTGGTCCCACCTGCTAGGCATTCAACAATGTTCCTGGCATGAATGAAAAATACACTTGCCAGAAGTTTTATTTCCAGGGGTAGAAATTTTATAAAGAGGCATGAGAATGTATTCTAAGACAGATAAAGTGAATTTGGTATTAAAATACAATGAAATATTAATTAAAATAATAATACACATGCTCAGAAAACATATGCATCTAAGAACTTTGTACAGAGGCAGCTGAAGGTTAAGAGAGTGGGGGAGACTGAGGGCACACTGTTCAATTATGTGGAGAAAGTCTAAAGTGGTTCCAGAACTCTCTCTGGCCAAATATATCCCCCAATCTGCAAGCTTATGCTTATAAAAATTTTCATCTCAAAATTACAGATAAGGGATTAAAAAGGAAATGTATGTGAGATCATACATCAGATAAAACCCAGTCACCATAAAATAAAATCAGTTAGGCAGGCTCCCGCTCAGACCGGCCAGGGTCCAGGTGAGGTTCCACCATTTACTGGCTATATGACCTGGGCCAGGTCCCTTAACCTTCTCCAGGAAAGCAGATCATGCGATAGATGAGTCCCCAAGCCCCTTTCAAATCTCTTGCTCAAAGGTTCTAAAGCAGAGTTTCTTAACCTTCTGGGGATCACATATTCCTCTGAGAATCTAATGAAAGCTATGAACTCTATTCTCCCACCCCACAAATAAACATACACACGTGTACTCAAAATTCTGCAGATCATTTGAAACACCCGATGGTAGACCTCCTCCTAGTGGGCAAATAGCCGAGGTGCAGTTCTTTATAATGAAGATGCTCTGTCTTCCCAGGGATCCTAGAGAACCCTGCGAAACCCATGGTGGACAGTGTACTGTGTGTCCACCTGAACTGTACGTCTCCTCATCTCTGAATTCCCGAGTGCCAAGCACAGTGCCCTGAATACAGTAAGTACCCACTTAATTTGTAAATTAAGTTGACCAGGCCCATAATGGTTTGAATGCACAGTTCTCGAGCTTTCAGACCTTCCGTGCTTCTGAAGGAGTATCAACTCCAAACCCGCCCTTTGAGAGACAAGTCGGATGCACAGCACCCTCAATGGGCTTACTCTACAGGATCTGCCAACTTTCCAAAGGTGACTGACTGCTATTTAATTCGAGGGGTCTAGCCACCCAGACTAGCAGCCATGCCTCAGTTACAAAGCAGAATTGATGACCTCCTCTTCCCCTCAAAAGAAAACACACTGTACCTGCTTTTAGTAGAAATCCCTTATATTTGTATAACCCTTTTATTTACACTTTTCCAATCCCTCTCACATACATTAAATATTCATCCGAGAGGAAAGCAATATATGCAGTACTCCATTTTAAAAGATAAGAAAAGAGAATGTAGTATTTAAGGGTTCAGAGAGGACTTTCAACGTAGCCCAGCACCAGGACCCCAAGTCACATTTTGATAAATATGCTAGTATTTCTCTAGGACCCTTATGAGAAAGGGGGAGAGGCCTCTTTAATTGACAGAGAAAAACAGCTATGCCATTCAATAAAGTGTTCAGTAATAACATCCAAACAGTACTATGATTTTAGAAACCAATTTAAGCAATTTTATATACAATGATCAAATACTTTAGTTTTTTCAATATTCAGTAAGAATCGAATCAATCTATCATTTATGACTTGAAAAAAAAGAAAGCAGAATCCACTGTATATAGCAGGAGAGAAAATTCCATACTTACCTACTGCACAATGTATAATCTAGAGGAAAAAAGGGGGAAAAAGAGAATTAGTAGGATCGATAATATTATAGTTTTATTTCATATAAACTAGACTTCAGTAAGAATAGAGCAGAGCCTGCCAGGAGCATCGAATCTGAAAAACGAACATTCCATTTTTAAACTTGGCTACAGGCTATTTAACAAAATGCAAATTCTTGTTTGGTTTTTCATTTGTTCATTTTTAGTCGGTGTACCTGTGGAAGATTTTCTAAGGAGTAAAAATCTCACCCAGCAGCTTATCAAATGTTCAGGACTTCTTTTATAATATACAAATTTATAAGAACAGTAAACATACAACCTCTCCCATGCCCAATCTTCTCCAGAACAGAACTGTCACAGACTATGGAACTCAGGGTCAGAAGAGCTTTGCTGGCAAGCCCTTCAATGCAGACATTCACGCAACAAAGCTCTACCCTTGGTCCCCATCTTGCCTCATTCAAAGATCTCATTACTGGGGTGTTCCCAGTCCAATCTCTAACCTTAGATCTCTCTGAGCTCCAGACCCACATTGCAAACTGCCTTTGGATATCTCCATTCAAGTGGACCAGCAGCAGCTCAAACATGGCACGCCTCAAGGGGAAGCTCACACTTTCCTTTTTTCATACCTGCCATGCCTCTTGATCACCAACCTCCCAGTCTCTCAGGTTCAACCACTCTTTCATTCCCTCACCCCCAAGTCCACCTGGTTTCCAGTCCTGCCAATGCTTCTGGCATCTGTTTTCCTCCTTCTAAATGTTTTTTTTATTTCCAGTGCCTGGGATGAGATTGCTATCTCCTCTCTGTTTCAATGGCCATCCAACGTGCCAATGAGGTTCTTCTAAATCCTCTTCCAATTCATCCCTTATGTGGCTTTCACCCTGGTGGTGGTAGTAAAGAAGTAATCTGATGCCATCTATAAGACTGATTTATTGACCAGAGCTTTTCTAGATGATAAGACCTAACATTGATTGTAGTGCATTTTAGAATTTACATTTCTCTAGCAATCATGGTTTTTTTTATCCTAACAATCACCCTGGCTGAGAGGACAGATATCTCTACTTGCAGATGAGAAAACCAAGGCTTAGAACTGCTCAACTTACCCAAGATAGTAAGTGATATCTAGGATCAAGAAGCTAGGTTTTATTTCTACTCTACTGATTTTTCTATCATATTATTTGATTGTACCTTAGTTATAACTTGACAAGACTTACCTGAAACATGTCTGATAAGACTCTGTGCTCGATAAGACTTTTATTTCACCAAGCTTTTTTTGCGGGGAGGGGAGGAGGTGGATTAAAAAATCAAGCTGCACAAAGTTGTTGATAACGGAGAAGAGGATAAAAGAACTACCATATTGCAAATCTTATTCAAAAGAAAACACCTCTAAGAATCTCAAATGTGTGAATATTACAAGATAAGCTGAACCTCCTGCCAGAAAGTAAAGGGAAACTAAAAGATATAAGCAGATTAAAATGAGGAATGAAAGACATGAATGAAGAGCAGGCTTTGAGACAAGACAGCTGACAGTGCCCAGAAAGAAAACCTAGTCTATCCACATATGGGGCAAGACACCCAGGCCGCTGAGTAACCAGAGGGGACTGGAGGAAAGGATACACAGCACGTAAGGGCTGTTCTTTTCTTTGCTTGATGGAACAGTAGTAGGCCTGAGTCCCATCAGACCCAATCTCCCCTTCGAAATCACGTGTATTTTATAATGCCTCCTTTACTATCCTGAAATGAAATTCACAGAAGACATAACCTACCTAGACAAAATTTTCAAAAAAATACAATGTCCTAACTCAAATGGAAAGAAGAAACAAAAAGAAAATAATTAATTAAAAAATATGTATTTCAGTATATAAATGTTTGGGGACATAAAGACATATGGAAGCACTCAAATGTGTGTACCAACTTATGATAACTCTGGATTTAAAAATGAGAATATCAGAAACCACTCTGGACAAGTAAAGGAAAATAAAAGAGCAGAGACACAGATCAACACCAGGGAAAAAAAAGTATTAAGATAACAATGGAAATAGAGAAGTTATCCTACCTGAAGTTGGAATAATAAGCCAAGGTGAGTAACAAAGTAGAGAAAATATAATATTATCACAAATGAACTAGGGCTTTTTTCTTTTACGTGGCATCAAAATAATCCCCTAGATTATATCATAGGATGGGGTAAGAAGAAAGTATCACAGAAAACCTACCCTTCTGCCTTGAAATCCTGTTGAGACATACAAGCAGTGTCTAGTCTATAAAAAGACCTTGAAGACCATATTCTTTGAATGGTGTGACAAGGAATAGAAAATGGATTAGACCAAAAAACATCAATGCAAGAGGCAATAAAGCAGTTGTAAACTAGACTGGAAATAGTTTTAGGATCCCCAAACTACAATGATCCCCCTAAAAGGTGGTAATATGAAATATTAAAATAATCTATATTAAAGAAATCCAATGAGATCTTTGCATTTCATGTGTCTCCACTAACTTAATCATCAAGTCTGAACAGGAATCTCAAATCTCCAGTTACATATTTTCAGTTTCATTGCTTTTGCAGTAACAACACTATTGCCCTGAAATCCTTTTCCACTAAATATGCAAGCTGGAAATGCTACAATACTTACAGAACAGAATGTGCAGAAAGAACAAATTACTCAGTTATTTTGAGATGATATCTTTATTTCACTTAGGTTCCCTCTTCATACCAACTGTGGTAGGCAGAATGCTAAAGATGATTCCCCAAAGTTCCTGTTCCTTGGTTATCCAATCAAACACCAATCTAGGTACTACAGTGTAGGGGTTCCGCAAATATAATTAAAGTCCCACATCAATTGATTTTAAGATATATGCGCAGACCTGATCCAACCAGGTGAGCTCTTTAAAAGCAGAGTTTTCTCTGGCTGGTGGCAGAAGGGGCAGTCAGAGATATTCAAAGAACAAGAAGGATTCAATGAGCGATTGCTGGCTTCAAAGATGGAGGGGGCCCTGTGTAGGGACTGGATAGCAGCCTCTCGGAGCTACGCGTGACCTCCAGCTGAAAGAAGCAAGGAAATGGGGACCTCAGACCCACAGCCACAAGGACTTGGATTCTGCCAACAACCTGAATGAGCTTAGAAGCAGATTCTTCCCCAGAGGCCCCAGATAAGAGCCAGCCTGGCTGACACCTGGATTTTAGCCTGGTGAAACTCTGAGCAGAGAACCCAGCCAAGCCCAGTTTCTGGCTTACAGAACTGTGAGCTAATAAATGAGTGTTGTTTTAAGCTTCCAAGTTTGTCGTATTTTGTTATATGGCAATAGAAAACTAAGACAACCGTCTTCTCACTTAGTAAGCGTTTTGTGTAATTTTTCACAAAGATTTTGTAGTACTAATATGTGCTACAAAACTATAACTAACTTTTGTAGAGGGATTAGCTGGGGGGATATACAAAAGTCCGGGGGCATGCAGAACAAATCTTCATTGAGTTAGACTGTCTCAGATATCAATAGCATCCACATTCGTTGTGGCAATCAGAATACCTTCACAATTCTCCACAGTGTGCTCTACAGGAGGTCGCACGGCTCTTGTTGAGAGCCCCTGGACTAGAACAAGCACATTTCATTGGAAAAAATTTAGAAGACTTGCCATATTCAAAATCTCCCTTGAAAATATGTGTCATAAACTTCTCTCTCCTCTTGAACTCTTTCCATTTCCACCAACTGACAATAAATTAATAAGTTATAGAGCCAATTATAGCAAAAAACGTAAAATTAAGTGACAGAGATAGAAATGGTTATTAAGGAAATCTCACAATTTCCTCCTTAAAAAATGGATGTAAAATTCTCATATCCTGAGAGTGAAATGTTGAAGCCTCACAAAACTTAAAACTGGGAAAAAACTCAAGGTCAACTAACCTAGCATATTCATTGCAGAGAGGTTAAAACCAAGTGGCAAAACCAAGTCTTGGTACCCATATTTCTTGTCTCCAGTGTCCTTTTACATACACTGTGACACCTCTTAAGTACGATTCTATTTTTACTTCTATAGTGTTTCTGCCAGCTTTTCTATGATAATCATTCACCCATCAGCTAATTCCAGCAACTTGTGTCTCCTTTCCATGCTCCTCCGTGGGACAAACTGTGATCTCTGAGAGTTCCTCGCTGGCTTCTACTCTGAAACTGACCTTCTCTCGTGCTGTGACTGGTGGGCCTGCTTTTCCTGTGTGCTTGGTCACAGGAGGCTGGGCTGGGCTTTAGCAGGCTTAAGTCAGTCTTTTATAGGCAGCAGATTGTTGAATTTTGTTCTTTAAAACAGTAACCACCACTATACTTTTTTATTTGATAAAATTAATGAGTCTATTTGCATAAACCTCAGAAATGAGGCATTTGTGCTACACTCAATTATCCTATAGGTTTACTGTTACTGCTCCTTTTTCTAACAGCTGGTGTAAGATTCTGTACTTCACTTAAAAGATACCATATCTAAGCTGCCTATTTTCTTCCTTTCTCAGAAAACTTTTTAATCTTATTCTTCTCATTCTTTTTTTGTTTTCTATTACATTTTATTACATATTTATTATATATCTTCTTTGCTTTTATTTTAAGATTCAGAGAAGTGATATATAAACACACACTAAAGTATATAGAGTAAAAAGTAGAAATTCTCTTTTGTTTTCCCACAAATACCACACCCCTCCATGGGGCAAGTGCTAGCAACAGTTCGCTATGCATCCTTCCACATCTTTTCCAATATCTGCAATTTGCTTTTTTTCTACTGGTTTTCCCAATCTGAAAACATCCACAAATTTTGATAATTATTCTCATTATTTTCACCTTACAAATTAACAAGTTCAAAAACTCTGGAGTGACATAAAATTTATACTGTTAGGTCTGTCTTCCTTTGCTTACTTACACTCCCTCCTACTTCATTCTACCTGGTAAAAGTATGGAATATCTTACAAAATTCCATATAGACATCTTGCAATCTGTATCACGGTCTAAGCTATGCTGTCCAGTTCAGTA